TGGGATGTTCAGGCGATGAAAGTAAGACGTAGTATGGTAAAAATGTTGGCTGGACATTTATTAATAGACAAGTAGTATTTAGTAATATTTAGCGGACTCAGTTTCAAATTCTTTAGATAAGTTCATGAAAATATAACTTTGTATAAATAGTCTATTATACATAGTCCAGCATTAAAATATTCTAATCAAATTCCGATTCATTTAATTGTCTATATGGTTGAGAGAAATTTTCGTTGCCATATGTACCCTTCTCACCGATTTCTATCAATTAATGGGAATATTTTTAAAGGGAAATTTTGAATTATTGCTTGATATTTATGAAATAAAAGCTGTCGATTTAATTGGAATAAAAAAGCATGCTTCAGAGACAATTACACGATCTATCAATAACACAAAGAATATTGAGCGAATTTTACATATTTACAAAAAGAATATGTACCTGGAAAGTCGAGGAGAAGACTCAATAAGATTCACAACAAGTGGGCTCACAAGAAATTGAAAGAAAGGAATATAGACTATAACGACGTTATTAGTTTCAAATGTTAATTGAAGTTATCGATTTATTACTAAAGGAGGTAACAGAATAATTAATGCACGAAACCTTTGTGATAATAACCAATCGCTCGATATATTAAAAGGCAAAAACGGCCAATAAACGCGACCAGCTTGATTATGAAAGCATTTGAAGACTTCTATTTGATTGAATTTTAGCAATAAGTGGACAGAGCCATGTTTTCTACTTATAAGCGGCGAACTATCCATACCGATCAATGAGGTTAAGTGTCTGCATGGGTTTATTTCGAGCAGTTTCGATAGTAAAGTACGCCGCACACTCCATCAGCCGAATAGTATTACGAGCGCTATTGCTACTAACCACTCGTTATTTCGCTATCGATCGGTTCTAAGCTTTATTTCGGCGCGCGTGTACGACTAAATTATAATTCCGGCGGGCTATTACGATGCAGGCAGTCCTAGTTTCACGATGGCATCGCTTGAAAATTTACTACCTATTTCTTCGTACAATAAAGAAAATGTTAGAATATCTTTTTTGCAATCTCGATATAAAGTTATTTTACAGTGTGTTTATTATACGTTATATACCATCAAACAAATTACAATTATAATCATTCTATATTATTTTCTTACATAATTCGACTCGCATAATTATTAACATCCTTGGATGTATCGACGTTAAAAATTAAGAACGAGCATAGAGATTGAAGTCATTACAGGTTTCATATAGAACCTAAAGACTTTTTTAAAAAAGTTAATTTAGGATTCTGTTTTCTCGAAAGACTTTATGATTCAAAATTTATTAAAGGAAAGCAATAAAACAGAATGAACCTTGCTTTGGTAACTAAGAGAAGAGTGAGAAGATCAAGAGATACGAACTTATCATATTCTTCACGTGTGGTCTTAAGTCAAATAAACATATAATACGATTATATGGTAAAAACAACATCAATTAAGGTAACTTCAATAATCTGAAGGTTTTATATCGTTTCTTTCTTAATCGAAAAGTCACAATCAATATTATGTTTACGTTTAACATTTATGATAATCCAGCGATTGAGATTTGTCACGCCTGATTACCCTTGCAATGTAGCAATATCCATTCGTGAAAGCAGCTTGATATCGGAACCAATTTTCTCTATCGAATACAATAATAGATCTGAAAGGATCTTTTTATCAGATCTGCTTCGGGCGAACATATTGAGAGGGATATTATACGTGTACACCTCTCAGCTTGTAAAATTAAATTACGCAGGTCGTTTCGCGTTTGCGGCTCATATTGGAAGAAGAGGGAAATTTTCTCCTTCTACGTTCAACGCCTTGCACATAACGTTATTCACGTCACAATTTTGTTTCAGGTTATTCGACAGCGGTTCGATGCAGAAGTTCAAGATTCTTTTCCACGATATCGAGGTAAAGGTGGCAGCATATAAATGTAAACTCGCAAGTAACCGAGAAGTTACACGGAGTTCGCAATAAGAAACTCGCTCCCTTGCTTACTTGCGCCGCGTTACGCTGCATTTAGTTCTATGGATTTACGAAAAATTACTTTCGAAATTAGTTCTTATAAATTGCAAGACATCCTTTCAGTGTAAATTCGAACAGAAAATCTTTCTCCGGGGGGAATTCTGCCACGACAGTTTTACATTTTACATTTTTTAGTTCTTGTAGAATATATTCATATTTGAGTGATAAATAGGCTAATTATCAACTGTTGGGTAATTTGTAACTTCTTTATACATTTTCAGATCAGTTCCAAACTTTAGCAATATCACCATGATAATTGTGCTTTATGGCAATATTAACGATATTTCAAAAAGTTTCGTATAACACACATAATATATTCGTAAAAGTTTTCTATGATAAATGTTCAAGTACTCTCATAAGTTACTGTATAATACAAGTAGGGTAAAATTAACAAATCATGTCAGTTAAGGGTTAAATTCAATTTCAGATATCAAATCTTGATCGTAGAGAAATTAGTTAGATCGAAAATAAGGAAAGACATAAGGACGACGAAATTGGACAATAAAGCTGGTTCCTGGAGTTAAACAAAACGTATCTGTTAAACGGAATACTGTTAGGAAATCTGCTCGCCAAACAAGGGCACTGCCGTACTTCCGAATGACATCGTAGTCTGTTCTCTGTGTAACAGATTCCCGGACTCGAGATTGTCAATCGAAACAGGACTTTCGACATGCTTGTTACCACGTGACTTAAGCGTGTTCTAAGACATGCCGACTGGAGGCAGGGAGATGAGAAGAGAGTTGGAAACTTTGAATCTTGCAAACAGCCTCGAGGACTTGTTCGCCACCCTCGTGAAGACTAATAAAGCTACGAACTGCGAATAGGGATGGTAAATGGCGGGATTGCTAGATAAGAAGTGGTCACCACCCATTAAAATTATCCGGTTACTTACGAGAATGAAACTAAAGTAAATATGGAAATAATTAAAAACAGTTCAAAGTGTACCGTCGATCACAAAAATTTACACACACACTCGACGAATTTTATGTATCCGACTTATCAGAAGAAATTAAAAATGTAGTTTGTACAAAATCATTTAGAGTTATACGCAAAATGATCTTGCTCGATATATTATGGTATTTCTAAAAAGAATTAAAAATATAAAGCATTTAGGCACAAAAATGTTATCAATGGCGAGAATATTGCGGGCCGTAGGCTGTTATTGATTCTTATTAGGACTTCCAACGTGTTAATATTGAATCTACTTGTTTCGTGACTTCATGTAAGTATAACGAAGATATTTATGAAATTGTATTCTTTTATTTCTTACGTTCTCCATTCGATATGTATAATATTGCGTTATCTTTTATTTTTTCATGTACCATGATTACTTGAACACCATATACGTACGAACGTTTTAGTAGTTAGGATCAAGACGCGTTCAAACAAATGAGGCAGGCATTTGAAATCCTTACAGCGAGAAAGCAATTAAATTGGCGCCCCGCTGCTCTCTTCTTTCGTGAAATCAGCCGGTGAGAAAGCGGTAAAATTCGATTATTACCGAGCTTAATGGCGCGGCTTAAACATCTTTAGTTCATCTTTGCCAATGTCCATCGCGATTTTCGGCTTCACACTCGAATGCTTGGCAATTTTGTGATCGTCAACGACTCGAATGGAACGGCAGTTTTCACTGCCACGCATTTGCGACGAGTTCCTTTTAAAAGGTACGTAGATTTATCCCAAGCCTTTTTTCTTGGCTTAAGAATTTTCATGGAATTCAGGATGAAAAGACATTGTTCTTTGAAAGCGTTTAAAAGGGTTTTATTTTCTTCTTATTCTAGTCTTTGTGTTTGGCTTTATTACCATTGCTTTGTTCAGGATGTTCATATTTTGTGCTGTTTTTATTCAAAGTAGTAGTTGTAATGGACCGGATTATACTTCTATTTTTAAATTAAATTTTTATTTAAATTCGGAAAACTATATCATATCACATATTCTCTACTCCCGAGATCATTTAAAGCTTCATTGTGTCTGAATCCAACGAATTTATAGTTTCCATGGAGCAACTGGAGTAAAAAAATCTCTTTATGTTCGATATATAAAGGGAAGGGCAAGAATAATCGATAACTTTATTCCTCTGCCACTATAGGATTTTGAGGAGAAATAAAAAATGTCTAGTGGGCGATATAAAGGTAATAAAATTAATTTTTTTATATAGCTCCATAATATGTTATGCGTTTCAGCATATTGCCATTTTTAATACCTGTGCTAATGACATATTATAGTTTTTAGAATGGTATTTGCGTTTATAAAATCATCAGTATATTTGACGAAGCCCGAGAGTAATGAATAATAGGAACAAAAAAAAAAGGTAATGGAAATAACTATATGTTAGCGTCGACTCTTCTATAGAGATGATGTCAAGGTCGATGCATCGCGCGGTGTCGAATCCATCTCCAAGCCGGAACCATAAATGTGTCATCGTGGTTTAGGATCGATCTCGATAGCGGCTTTGAATGGCGATACTCTGAAGGACTGTTGCGGTTCTAATTCGTGGATGTTACAGCTATAGTTTCGGGGTGCCGACTGTCAACAAGAGGATCAAGAGGATCAACCCTCTCTGTTGTTCCACGCGTCGCGCCGCCGATGACTTGGGAACACTCGGACTCGCGGTAGAGAGCGATAAGAGTTTTCTAGAAGGATCTGATCATGGAACGCTGGCAGGCTGATAAATCCTCCGACAATAGAACTGACAATGAGCGAAAAACCTCAGCACTTACCTCACAATCTTCGCGAGATTCTCATCGTCCAAGATGGATATATGGTCGAATTTCGAGATACGTATTGTTTAACAAGTAGAAATTAGAAATTAGTCAATTAAATAATGATGATAGAATACGTATAAATTTAATTGAAATCTGTGAAATTATTTATTAAGCTTTGTAGTTAAGAATTAAATTTTATTAACAATGAAATAATTAATTTAATGTTTCTGGATAAAAAAAAGGATTAATATTTACTTCAATATGTACGTACATATATTCGCATGAAAAATGTCTCACAAAGTCGATCCATAAATAGATGCACTATTTCAGATCGCAATTTTATACAAACGAATAAATAATTTCACAATTAAAAATAATAGTTGACGTAAAACACGAAGTTGTATTGACCGACTTTTATGCCTAGTCTGTAATTAACACAGGTTTTTTTTACAGTGAAACCAGACAATCTTATGATAATTACGTACGATTCTATAACGAACGCGACGCAACGTCTGGATCGACTGGATTCAACGAAAGCAGCCTGAATCCTGAGACTTCCTAAACTTATTACGCTTCCTTGACGTTGAAAATAAACGATGAAGAAGAGCGGCAGACGGTAAAAACCGGGGAATTTTTGTAAAACAAGTGGCTGCAACTCAGCTTGACGCCGCGCCGTGGAAACCGACTTCGAGGTTGCATTAAGAGCTCCGCGGTAAAGTGTACTGTCAATAATTTAGAAACCCTCCGATGAGGTTTTCTTTTCAAGCCAGCTACCGTACAGCGGAGACCAATAGAATGGTAATAAGATAAAGAAAATGGGACGGAGGTAAAAATTTTTGTTGTTTAATGTAATTTGAAGAGGTAGAAATCCATTAAATATGGAAATCGGAAATAGTAATACCTTTTTGCTGTTTTAACAAAGTAATTTTGAAATCATTCTTGATTAAGCAGCCGCTTTATTATTAAAATACATACAATTAAAAAATTGTATATATTTTTTTTTCTAAAGTGGTTAATAAATTATTTCATACAGTACGATGTAAAATACTAATCGCAAATAGAATAAAATGTTTGCTTTTCGTGACAAACTTTTTTTTATTCATTTATTTATGCAAACAGGAAATAAGATATCCTTTAGCATACAGAGTAAATGTAAGGAATACCAAATACTTAAGGCCAGCAATGTATAAGTGATATTACTATGTTCTGAAACTACTAGCATGCACTCTATTTTAGTTTTATTAGAAACTTTTTATAGGTACTCGATTATTGATTGATTGCATATGAGAAGGATGATGTGAAAGTACGGAAGTTACAGATATATGATTGATCGGTGACAGGCTGTCGAAGACAGTTTGTAAAAATAGAATGTGCTAATAAAATCGAATGGATGTCAAGTGTTTTTTTAGCTCTGGTTCGAGCTTGTTCTGCGCTTGAACGCTAATAAACTTCACATTACTCAATCAGTCATTGACGTGCTGAACAAGTATCACATCATATCTACTTCTATGTTCATCAAATAAAACTACGTCAATAGCACTCAAAAGGTAACCAGTAACATGAAATACAAGTTATTTATACAAGTACAAAATCAATGGATTGCAGTTCTAAGTAGTTCAATAACGTTCTTGTAGCCGTGTAAACAAAAACGGGTATACATCTTCTTGATTCATTGACAACGAGATTCATTGACATCGCACGCTCGATATTGTTCAGATAAAGAATAATAAATAATCAAAAGTTGTAAACACACCACGCATAGAAACGATATGGATCTCTGTTTCAGTGAAATCGTCGTACTCTGTAATTGTTTTATTACGAATAATATTTATCGGAACTCTGTGGTAAAACCCCATCTTGTACCGCGGATGTGTCTACTGGCTACATGCGGTACAAATGCCCATGAGGTTCCGGATGGGGTTCGCTTTCCCAAAGCTACCTAACCACCAATGCAATCTCGTATCTCACGATGTAACATTCACCCTTACCACCATCGAATTTAGTTTAGGCAGGTTAACGAGTACGTATTTTCTACTCGCCACGCTGTTCTTCAGTTGACTACAATTACTGTTAATATCCAATACCGTATAATTATTCTTACAATTATTACACCGTATAATAACTTTAACAATCATTATTGTATGATAACTTTCTCAATTATTGCATTTCACAGTTACTATATCGTAGTAGAATAACGAAACAATGAGACAGAGCTCAATCGTCTTCATATATAATAGAATGCATTAACTTCCCAATAAAATTTCGTAGCGTTTTATGTTAACAAAAGCAAGTTCGTACGGAGTGTATGAAAATTTTTATGGGTTAACATGCATCTATTAAACACTAAACTTTTAAACTTTTTCGTGAATCGTATAAATTCGGATAATAACATCCTATATTCAGTTTCTTTTTACTTAAACAATAGTGACCCAAGAATAAAAATATTTCCAAAGTCTAGAAGGATACTCGCGACAAGAAGCGCCGTAGAACACCGAAACTGCCACTTCTGTCTGGAAAGCAATTCATGCTTTCGTTCATTCTTATCTCTATCCCATTCGAAAATTTCATTTCCCTCCAGAGGCGATTTCTGTCCATTGTAATTCAAGGGAACTGCAAGTTTACGCCTCGGACCGATTTAATTGCCATCGCCGTGGCTGTTTCTATTGGCATCGAGACGATCGTAGAAAGAACGTTTCAAGTTCTGTTATTGCAGTTTCGAGTTTCTACACGAATCTTCCCCACTTTTTTGAGTTCATTCGGGATATTCGCTTGTGGCAAGCAGGGACCAATGAAATCCAGCCATTTCGAGGCGACCAGTCGGCGGCTGATCTTAAAGCTGCAACGCCGAATATTTGCAACCGGATCGAACGTTGGTTGCCCATCCGACTGAGTTTCCGTCGAATAAATTCGAATGGCCATGAGGGTGAGAGTCGTAGGGGACACACGATGCTCGTATACAAGGATTATTCAAATTTCCGGCAACCCGTTCCCGTGGAAAACTGTCGAGACGTCCCGTGACCGAAGGGATTTGCTCGAAAATATAAAATAACACTATCCAAGCAACGATTCAAAGAGATTTCCTAAGACAATGGCCTCTATTCAGAACTCGCTTAGGATGCAGAAAGATGTTTTCCTGGTCTGTTTGTTCTTCGTCCGGGACAAGTCCTCGAGCTTGTCCTTTCCTGGCACGGACGTTTTTAAGGGAATCGTTCAGGCTAAAAGTACAGCGTGGTACTAATATGAACACGTGCTGGCAGTGACTACTGGAATTGTAGAAATAAGGATGGATAGAGCATACTCGAAAGCACTTGAGAATAGAGAATATAGTTTGTCGAGTGATGGAAAGAAATATCGAAGTATTTCTGCGTCATTTAGAAAAATTGCATGTAATGACTACGCAAGAATAATTTCTGTTCATTTTTGTATCACTTGGTGGCTAAAAAGCAATATACACATGTATACAGTATAATTTAATGTTACTATATATATTTATTAATAATTTATCATTATTCATTATTTAATGTTACACAAGCTAATGTGTATAACAGTGAACTTAATCGAGGAATTGCGGAGTGTATGAATAGCTGTATATGTTTCTACGTGGTTTATAACCCGTTTCATCTGTTAACTGAAAGTAATTAGTGTTGTACTAATGTTGCGAAATATGTGGAAAGCATAATTTATCAAGACCTTCCGTACGAGTTGTGCCGTACTCCGCGAGTTTCGCAAGCGTTAAGAGCGAAACACAAGCTTGTATCTCTTTCGTGCCATATAAATACTAAATAGCGTCAAGGAAAAGTGATGTAATCTGCAAAATAAGAGATCGGAAACTTAAAAATAAAATGTAAATGAATTGTCAAGAATTTACAATATTTATTAACGATACATAATAGAAATGTGAAATGTTATAAATCGTATTAATAACGTCAGCAGCATTTGTTACAAATATTCCTATATCGATCGCAATGACGTCTTTACAGAATCTTGACGCTAACGCAATATCATAAAATAAGAACCATAATTGCCAAACATTTATGTCCCATTTCGTCGTTTTAACCATTGTCGAACTCCCATTTTTGTAAAAGCAAGCGAAACTCGATAAAAACAAAAACAAGAGAGCAAAAAAGAACGGGTCTATAGCCTCTCTGTGCGCTTTTACGCGACCGTACACCTTCGTGCATCTCGCTTTTCTGAAATATTACCGTCCACGCAAGCTCCACACCCGCCTCCGCTTTTAACAGCACCTCGACTGTGACACGGTTTGTATCTTGATACGATAGTCTAGGCCAGTTAGGACGGTTCCTCACGTAAACCTGTCGCAAACCGTTGGCAACCGGTCTCGACAAGCTACTGCATTTTGTAGGTCAACGCCGGTTCCACCGTGAGGGTGGTTGACAGTTTCTGAACGGGAGAGGGAGAAGTAGGGGATGAGCGGCAAAGGGTGAGATAGTCGAGAGTCGACGCTGGTTGTACGTGTCGCGAACAATAGCCCCGAGGGTACACGGCAACCTGATGTCACTTCCTGCGTCGGTGAAACTGCCCTAATTGTCCCCAACTGTACTCACAACGGCCACCTTCACCTCTATCCTCTCTCAGCATCGAGCGTTGAGAATCGTTCTGTTACTTTGCCCACGTTATACTTTCATTCAGATGGTTTGCGATAGAAGTAAGAAGAAGAGAGAACGGAAGCATGTGAAGACATAAAAATGGAGGGACATTTTATTCGTGTGAAGCAGACGTGTGTGTTGGATGATTGGTTGCCACTAGTAGTTTTTGCTTTGATTGCTATATCGCAGTAAATTCTCTGTAGAATGCTGTATTATATTTGTAGTAGAGTAAAACTTTCTTCTTTCTTATAAGCAGATCTCTTTTTCGGGAGCGTTTACGAACCATCTAAAAACGAACGAATTAAAATGGCTTCTTTAACTAAAGTACTAATGGATTTTGGTTTGAGTCAAGTAACAGATAAGAGAAGAATAATTTTATATAGAACAGGCTCTATACGTTCATATGTTATGTATGAACTTGTTTTGAGCAATTTGATCAAAAATCTGACAACATGAATTTATAATATTATTCCTAGCTATGGTTGAAACGAAGTTTATATCTAGCACTCGTCATAGGCTCAACTCATTTTAACTTAGCACTCACTCCCACATTAGACAATGAAACAGTCAAGTCTCCTCTCTGTTACGTCGTAGCTGATAAATGCTTTTGAGATAACAAGGAGCCTAATCAGGGAAGGACAATAGGGGTGGCCTATCTTGCGTGGAAGCGAATTTTGCTGCCGTTTCATGCCATAATACGATATTCATGAGCCGATTATGACAGCACGTAGCCGTATAAGTAGGGCGCGCTGATGAGTTATTAACTTCCATAATTTAACAGACGAGCGTGCGACGATAGAGTGAGAGAAGAGAGGGGGGATACCGTGATGCATTGTCAGTAGTCCTGAGCACGTCGATTACGGATTAGCATCTACGATTCCCTCACAGAAGATTCGTAATTGCTTTGCCAGGGTTTCAACCAGCCTTTGCCCCGACTTTTCATTAGGGATTCAATTATAATTTGCCCGATTGTTACTGGGAATCTCGAACACGCTGGTGATAGAGAACGTCGTCAACGGCGGCTCTCGAAATATAAGAGATTTGAAGTAATTAAATCTACTCTTTGCTGGCACACAATTCGATCAGAAATTTCCTTTCATTTATTTTGTTACGATTGACCGAAATTCTTTTGTGGATCCTATCAGAGTGAATTAAAATTTATCTGTTGTAGTACTCATCGTTCGTTCCTTTTTTCTAGAATAAAAGATATAAATATTCTTTTCCACTGGATATATTGGATTGTTCGATAAGCTCATAGTGAAATTTAATTAAGTACCTATAAACGAGATTTCCTTTTTCCTGGAGTTAGGTTGGGATTAAATTAATGTAATTTAATTTGGCACTAGTAAATTAAATATAAAATTTACATTTGCTTTTCCGAATCCCTATAGCAATATTTTACTTATTTACGTATATGCACATTGAAATATACTAAACTTTTTTAAACGATTTCGGCATTGTCCATTTTTCGTAATCTAACTAATAATGCATATGTTAACAAATTTTCAGAAACAGAGGCGAAAGAAGTATGTATATAAGAGGGAGAAGCATTATACTAGTAGTACGCAAGTAGTAGCAGCCTATCATTAGTCAGACTGAAGATAACAGGCACTCCTCAAACTTGGTACGTATAATTATCGTTCTAGGAACTTCTAAAGAGTCATCTATTTCAATCGATAGTTTGAAAGTGCGATCACATTTACTAGCAATACCGTATAACAATTTAGAGCATAATAATTTTCAAGCTTTCCTTATTTTCAATCGCATTCCGCTGAGCCAAGCGTCAGCGGACCTCGACACGTGCGACACGTGTCGGTTCACGTTTTCAAAATGACCCATCCATCGTTTCATATGTTTCCATTGAACCTGCGGAGAGGTTAAAGGTCTCTTTTTACGCCTCGCATCTAAAGACGGGATCGCGACCGTTCCTAGGAAAACGGTGTATCTAAATTTAAGGGAGTCGCTCCGACGTTATTACATCGTCAATATGAAACTTATGTACGAACGTGTTCTTGAAACGTTCATACATAAAGCAGATCTCTTCGAGTATCGTATCAAGATACACGTAAGGATACACGGCTTAATGCCGCCATCAACTTTTATCACGTTCGTTGCAACAATAAGTCTCCTGAGCGTGCAGAGAAAACGAAAGCTCGTTACACTCTTTGCTTAACTTAATTATGGTCGCTTCGTTTGTGGATGAAGCTTAATTTTTGGGGATAAAAATAAGTCGTGATGTTAAAAATGTTTCGTAGACGAAAAAATAAAATATTGAAATTATGATTGCGGATGTTTTTTTGAATATTTGTATTTGTGGGAAAGAGAAATGTATAAGAGAATATAGGATGTCCATAATATGCAAAAATATATGAAATTTTCAAAGTAGATACCATTTATCTACCATTTATACTATACTTAAAACAAATTCATTGTAGTATTTTTTGTTTGTGATTACTATATTTCTTTGTTCTATTTTTCATACGCAAGCATTGTTGAGATATAATGAGCTTTAAATGTTACAGATATCAGATAATATTATAAATGGATAAAATTTGATTAGTTTACAATGTTGGTTCTTCAAGCTTTTTATAATTAAACTGAAGTTTTTTCGCTTCAAAATACAAATCGATTAACTTAAAGCTTTGATTGTTGATTTTTAAATCTTTCTATAATTTGATTAAAATTCATTAAATTGATAAAGTTTGTTTATTTTATAATTTGGATTTTTTCAAGCTTTCCATGACTCGACTGAAATTTTCTGCTGTCGTAAAGTTTCAATTAAAGTCGGTTATTATCTGAATTTCCATCTTAATAAAAGTTAATTAAAGTGCCTATTGGCAGAGAGTTTACAATCCATTGGGTACAGTTTTTGCAGATTGCACGATGCTGTTGGAATAGAACCGGAGTACATGCACGTGTAGAAAATTCATTCAGAAAAACTGTTATTTAATTAAGGGAATTTTTCAAATATTAATATGTGTAGCGAATTGAATTTTTAACAGTGCAGGATATATATATGCATTTTAAGTTGAAAATAGTTAATTTTCGTTACAATGTTAAGACACGATATTTTTTATCTATTTATCAATAACCTTACATGAAACCAAACTATATCTCCGAACCTTTTAAAATAATATATTTTGAAGGTTAAAGTTTAATATAAACTATTCACAAAAGAGATGTACAATTAAATATGTCGATGGGCTAAAAATATTGCACTCGAAGCTGCATTATTCTCGTCGATATTACGAAAACTAAGCACTTAACATCGAATACCTTCGAGTAGCGCTGAAGTGATATGCGATGCTCGCGTACCGATATTAATAGAAACCCATTAACTCAATCGTATTTCACGGGCTTGTTAAAGTGAAGCATGATCAACGTTAACGATAAAATTTCACGATCGTCTCGAGTGGCTTGTTTGTACGCAATTTTCTTCGAAACTTATCGCTGATACAACTTCAAATACGTGTAAGTCAAGATACGTATTGAAATACAGTAGTTCACAAGAGTGTTTGAACTGTTATAGAAATCTTTCATGAATATATTATGTGTGCTGCTTACAAACTTTTTGAAATTACATTAACACTGCTTTAAGGCACAATAATTATGATTATATATGTAGATAAAATTTCAAATCAGTCTGGAAATGTGTACAGTAGTTACAAGATTATTATAATCGCAAATATACATTTATTATTAATCAAAAATTATATAACAAGAATGACCGTACTACTAGTTTTCTATAGCAAGTATTCCAGATATTTTTGTGAATATTCCTATACCCTCGAGTGTATTGATCAAATTGTGCATTCGTGGTTTTTGTTCCACTTTTCCCCAGGGAATGTTGCATGCTCTTTCTCACTGCGTTACTTTTTTCTACCTCGTATGGAAGATATTGAATTTAACAGGATTCGCGTCTACGCATTCGCTGAGATGAAAAATGGCGAACGAAGAAAAGAAGGAACGTTCCTTGTCTTATGACAGGAAAATGTTTTGATACTACGACGTCGACAGATTTGTCTTCTTCTATTAGTTGTTGAGATGTGGGCAAATAACTTTAAGACCAGGCGAACGATACGCGAGTCTCAACCACTTGTGCGTCCTCGCGGTATAAAGATATTGCTCCTGGGCGTTTAAATTTTTCAAGTCGCGTCTGTCGGGTTAGAAGCGAACGAATAATATTATTTGCGGATTTGATACAAGAAGAGAATATGTTGCTGAATTGTTTGGGGAGTTTGTAGCATTTTTGATAGCCACGAGCACTGCAAATTGACA